GGGGCTTCAATGGGCGAAAAGGCGAGGAATGCAACGGACCTGGAAAGGCAAGAGGCGCACCTTGCTTCTCCCCGCCCCATCTGCCACCCCTCACTAAAGGGACAGCGGGAAGGGAACCAGGCAGGCTACTTTTACCATTGGGGTGGGCGGTGTTTTTTTGTGTGAGAAGGAACAGGCGGGAGGGGGTGATCGCATTGCTGGCCTGCTGCTCTTTTTGCGCTGGGCTCTTTTTGTGGGGAAGGACGGGGTGGTGGTGGAAGCACTTTGCTTCACCTGCTACTGTTTTTGCGACTGGCTCTTTTTGCGCGGGAGGGAATGGCGGGGGGTTGGAAGCACTTTGCTTCGCCTGCCACTGTTTTTGCAGCAATCCCTCTTTTTGCCCCGCAAACTGCACCGGTAGGTGGTACAGAGGTAATGTACCAGTAGGTGGTACAGAGGTAATGGCGGGGACCGGTTGCGCATGCGCTTAAATAATTGGGGGCGGGCTTATTTATAAGGGAGGGCTTATTAGCATGCTCTGAAAAGCCCGATTGGGCTTATTAGCAGGGCATGTCTTATTTTCGGGGAAACACAGTAAGTGTGAAAACGGTCATAAATCCCTTTTTTTCACTGACATTGTAACGTTGAATGGTCACTACATGAACTGTTGTAAATCGAGGACTACCTGTACTATATACAGTTAGATACCATTATTTAAAATAAATGGAAATTCTGAAATAATATATATATACACACATGGCTAAAACAGTCTTGAATAAATGGGAGACAAATTTGTTCCATGACAAGGGCTTAAGTGATTTATGTCCAACTTTTTATTTGTGTGGAAATTTATGAAAATTACATTTATGCCAAGTTTTTCATATCAATCTGGATGAGGATAAAACTAAGATAGGAAAACTCACTATCTTCAAACAGTGCTTCAAATGATTATAATCAACTCTGAATAATGTACCAATTGTTCCTGCTGGCCTAATACTGACTCTGCTTTAAGAAATTTATGGAGGCCACCAACAAAGCTTTTGGATTAATCCTAGGAAATGCTATGCATAGAACTTATCTGTAAGAACTAGACAGGAATTGCCAGATTTACCCTAAGAAGCATAATTATACACATACTTTTCTCCCCACTGAATATTCCAGAAAGACATCAAACATGGATTAAACTCTAAAGCAGCAGAACAAACTGTCCCTAAAAAGAATGTTTTTGTGGGTTTTTTTAAAAACCTCTTTGCATGTCTCTCATCTCGAGTGATGGCTTAGATATAATAATTTATCTACAGCATTTTCATACTTCTTGCAACATTATCCTGCAATAGATGCGTTTAAATACACACAATTTCAATTAGATTATTTTAAATTGCTGTTACAAATTGCTTCCACCGAAGTTCATCTTTCTTTCTTTGATTAAAGATTAAAATCAATCTGGGCTTTAAAAAAAAATCCTTTGTAGCAGTGGGATTAAGCCCTGGAAAAGCAATTGCCCAGAAATTTTCTCAACAATATACTTCATTTAATATCTAGTAGTTGAGGCTGTTGCAGCGTTCACTCCCCCCCCCCCCCCCCCCGTTATGTAATTGCAATTCTGACACTTGATGACCAGTTTGCAATTATGACGTCACAACATCCCTAGGTCACATGACCACCATTCATGAACTATGAACCGTATTTTTCGGACTCTAAGATGCACCATGATTTTGAAGCAGTAATTTTTTTTAAAAAAAGCGTTTGCACTCTACAGGCTTCCCAAACCCTCTGCACGCCTCATTTTTTTGCAAAAAAAAAGGGGGGGGCATGTGGAGACTTTGGGAGGCTTGTAGAGCATGCCTGGGAGCTTGGGGGGGGGGAATTGTCTGCTTTTTGCAACAAAAAAAGGGCATGCAGAGGCTTTGGGAGGCTTGTAGAGCATGCCTGGGAGCTTGGGGGGGGGGAATTGTCTGCTTTTTGCAACAAAAAAAGGGCATGCAGAGGCTTTGGGAGGCTTGTAGAGTGCTCCTGGGGGCTGGGGAGG